GAAGGAAGGAAGGAAGGAAGGAAGGAAGGAAGGAAGGAAGGAAGGAAGGAAGGAAGGAAGGAAGGAAAAACCCAACAACAACAAAGAAAACTGTACAGACTCACAGGAAGTTGCTGCAGGCAGAGCATGAGCTCTGCCCCAGCTTCTGCAACAAGCACACTTCTGTAACAGCAGCACAGCATCACCCATGCTGTACAACACTAGGTAGGACTTGAACTATTTGGTTTTCCCTTGCACCCTGCTAAAGTTTGGATTTGAGATGTCCTCCAAAGCTCCACGAAGTTTACAGTTAACTGTCAACTTGCCATAATCTAAAATCACCTGGGAGATGGGCATCAGAGAATGTCTGTGAAGGAATATCTTCATTGTATAATTGAGGTGGAAAGGCCCTCCTCCACTGGTCACTAAATGAGAAAATGCCTTACAGCTGGATCTCAAAGAGGCATTTCCTCAGCTGAGGTTCCTTCCTCTGATGACTCTACAGCTTGTGTCAAGTTGACACAAAACCACCCAGTACAGAAAGTGTATCAAGGGTACAGGGGCTTAGGAAGCACCTACCACCATGTGGGTTTTGAGGCTCAAACTCAGGTGGTCAGGCTTGGAGATAAGTGCCTTTATCCACTGAGCCACCTCACTAGCCCATGCCAGTCTTATTAAGTGAAGAAACAAACAAGTTTTAAAATATACAGATGGACATAACAGAGTCACAATCTTAAAACAAAACCTAAAATTGTACAAAATTATTATCACATGTATTTTGGTGAGGAAAATCTATAAATTTCATTAGATTCACAAAGATGTCTTTGACCCTAAAAAACTTAAATGCAGACTGCACACTGTGGTGGATTGAATGAGAACTGGCCCCTAGAGGCACATATATTTGAATGCTTAGTCTCCAGTTAGTGGAACTGTTGGGGAAGGACTAGAAGGTGTGGCCTTTTTGAAGAAGATGTGTCACTAGTGGTGGACTTTGAAGTTTCAAAAGCCCATATCAGGACCAGTGTTTCTCTGTCAGCTGCTTGCAGATCATGATGTCAAGTATTCAGCTACTGCTTCAGCACCATGCCTGTCTGCTTCCCACCATGATGATCATAGACTAACCCTACTGTAAGCAAGCCTCCAATTAAATGCCTTTTTTTAATGAGTTGTCTTGGTCATGGTGTCTCTTCATAGCAATAAGAACAGTGGCTAAGGATACATCAAGATGAAGTCACTATGCTATGTCTAGGTGATGAAATCATGGATGATTTGGATTGTTTCTATACAAATCTATAACTTATATAATAAGTATGGATAATTTTTACTAATAATGGGGAAAACAAGTCATTGATTTGATTTTTAAAAATGCACATGCACATATTAGTAGAATATCAAGTATAAGACAGTTTCTAATTCTTAGAATCCTTCAAATCATCCCAAAGACCCTAAGCAATGGCAAAACCTTGCCAGAGCACTGATCCTTAAATTAGAAATATCTGCATAAGACCCATCCTGAACTAGGGAGAGTAACTCCTGTATATTTTCCAGGTCACTCCACCACTTGAGTTCAAAGTGATTTTAGATGGTTCTTAAATGTTTTTGACTGGACAACTACTGAATGAAGGAAAGGAATGAGTTACTACCGAAAACTGGGTTCTTTATGTGCTAGAGCTATCTGTGAAGAGGAAACCTGAAGGTAACAACAGTGAGCCTCAGGCATGTGTCACACTCACCAGTTCCAGCAGAAAAGGAGGAAGTGGCAAAAGCATCTCCTTGTGTTGACTGGAAGCCTGGGATCAAACTCTCTGCCGAGCCACCCAGCTTCTCAGGAAGCTTTCCTAGAGGGACAAAATACCACTTAGTTCATCCTTGCAGAATCCTGGGGTGCACAGACACACAGCGAAGTGAAGAACACTATCTAATTGGACTCCACAGTTATGGCAACATCTTTACCACCAAAAAGTCCTTGTCTGTGCTGATGTTCAAAGACCATGCTCCAGCTGGAAGCAGTTTGAGAACTAAGAGGGAGTGCAGGGGAGGAAGTGGGGAGATGCTATGAAGACAGTGAGACAACAGCAATACAGACCCAAAATTAAAAAATCAAAATCAGGGGCTGGAGAGATGGCTCAGAGGTTAAGAGCACTGACTGCTCTTCCAGAGGTCCTGGGTTCAATTCCCAGCAACCACATAGTGGCTCTCAACCATCTGTAATGAGATCTGGTGCCCTCTTCTGGCTGTATACATAATAAATAAATAAATCTTTTAAAAAAATCAAAATCAAACAAAAAACCCTCTGGGGCAGGGCTGGAGAGATGAGGTGGTTCATCACTTCAGAGTGCATACTCTTGTGCTTCCGGAGTACCAAAGTTCAATTCCCAGCACCTCTATCAGGCAGCTCACAACTGCCTGTAATTCAGGCTCCTGGGAGATCTGATGCATCTGGCTTCTGGGGGCCTGCACTCACATGCATATAGCCACATATGGACACACATACAGATAATTTAAAGATAAAATAAAATCTTAAAAAAAGAACCCAATGGCTCATTAATTATACACAAACATACTAATTTTCAATAATGCAGGAAGAAATGTCTATTTACAGCACAGAATAAGAAGTGGCAGAGATAACAATGAAAAGTACTTGTCAAAGAAAGTCAAATCCTACTCCCTGTCTTCTATTTAAAAGGCTGAACTAGCCAGGCATGGTGGTCCACAACTTAAATGCCAGCACTCAGAAGGCAGAGGAGCAAGTGGATCTTTGTGAATTTAAGGCCAGCCTGGTCTACACAGGGAGTTCCAGACCAGCCAGGCTACATAGTGAGATACTGTCTCAAAATGAAATCAAATAAAATGGTAGAAAGTATGTTTTTAAAACACTGTTGAAAAGTGAATCAGGTCCTATCATTCACCGGCTCTGCTCATTCTTTTGCTCTGTGCTGAGTACACGAAGGGTGTTTTTCTCCAACTCAACATTGGAGAGATTTCCCAGGTATCTGTGTGGTATGTATATGTCTGTCTGGGTCTGTGTGGATGGGCCTGTGCCTGGGTATGGCTATTTTGGATAGAACTATGTCTTGCATTTAAAGCATCTCCTTTCTATGGTCAGTCAACAACACATAGACTGTGACCAGGACCCAGCATCTTGTGAGGCATGCCCTCAGCTACTCATTACAGGGCAAGGCCACTGAGGATGAATGGGACATTTACACTCCTCCAAGCAATCATTCAGCTTGATGTAACTGTCCCAGTTTAGACCACTAAATCTTTTCAAAGTTTCTCCTCTACATTCACACAGTCCCTGCTGCCGCTCACAGTTGGTCAGCACTTTTGAAAGAAAAAATTAGTGGTCTGGCAAAAATGAAAATGAAAATCAGTATGCAAAACCCCAAACCAATTTTTCTTTCAAGACAGGTCCATGCTGACCTTTCCCAAGAATGTCCCTCTACAGCTAAGATACCGACACACTCAAGTTTATTCTCAGCCGACTTATAACCAAGAAAGACAGAGAAGACTCAGCCTGCTCACCTTCCCCGAGCTTGGCAAAGTCTTTGTTGAGCAGCTCTTCAGCTGTGAGTTTGGAGAAGTTGTCATCATCAAAAGGATTCCATGTTGAACCTTCGGAAGCACTGGAGACATTCTGCTGCGAGGTCCGTGGAGAGCCTGAGGGAGTGGTGGTTGCAGACCTAGGAAAGTTTCCCCCAAGGGTGAAGGAAAAGCAAATATAAAAACACAGAAGGGCCCAAACAATTTTCTCTTCATTATGGTACCAATTATTTTCTCAATCAAACCATCATTTTCCACAGTGTTTCCATAGAGGACTTCCCATAGACACTGAAAAGTTTAGTCTTTATAAATGCTGTCTCCTTCACTTAAGCTCTCATGAAATCCTGCAGCTTGCCTGTCTCCAGCAAGACCCTTCAGGTTAGGATCCACAGCAACCTATTCTGAGGCCCATATATCAGGACTGACTTTCAGGCCTATCTTAGCTGCCTCTGACCTTTCAGGATTTGGTGTGTCCAGTACTAAGCTCTCATCACATGTTCAGAATGTTGTTCAGTGGTATATTCACTCTATCACACAGAGAAATAGTTACCACCACCTTTGTACGCCTACATCACCTACTTTTCCTTGAGTCTCTCCTGACTTAACTATGTTTAACTTTAGAGTACAGGGTTTCAAGGAAGCTAAGAGTCTACAATTACACTGACTTAACAATGGTCACCAAGACCGACTTTATGCAAAGCACAGAACTAGCAAGCCTACCAGGTTCGTGAAACTTACCTAAGTCTCTGACTTTGGAACTCACAAACCAGACTGGCCAGATACACTAATAATTCATGATAAAACATGTGATGGACACTTTAAAAAAAAAGTCCCCAGACAAAATATTGCATGAGAGGAAAGAATAAAGCCTGACATGGAGCTAAAGAGTCAAAGCACATCCTCTATGGGAGGGGGGAGCAGCAGCTCCAAAGATGAGTCAAGTCACCTATGTAGACAGTACTTGCTAAGGTAGCTACCCTCCAAATATTGGGGGTCCAATGAGGAACTGACATTACAGGAAGACTTGGTCAAAGGGTTTAGAAAACACTCTACAGAGCAGAGAACAGATGGGAGAAAGGAAACTGAAAAGACAGAACTGTACAGTGCACACATGGTGGGCAAGTTCATAATGTTACTAAATACAGACATGCACTGGCACAAGTATACTACCATACCTCCACAAGCTTATGCAAAGAATCATACAATAGTAACCCAGAGCAGACCTTGCCCACCTGGGAAGAACAAACATACTTAGATTTATTGAGACTGGCCTCAGCTGCAGCTGCCTGGAGCAGCTGGGTTGATTTGCTGGCAGGAACCCCAAAGACTGCACTGTGGGTTACATCACTGAGAATCCGCCTGTGCCCAGCACGTTGGGTTTTGGGGGATGATGGAGGAGTGAGAGATCCAACTTTCTGACCCTGGATGGTTGGAGGTGGAGTTGTCTGAACCTTTGGCTGTTGTCTTGGTGGAGCTTGAATCTGCTAGGGAGAGAGAAATGCAAAGCTTCATTATGAACAAACAAAAAAGAAAAAGAGGAGAAGAAAATGGAAAACAAAAACAAATCAATAACCAAGTATTTAACACCTCATTTGCTCATAAAAGATTTGAATGGCCAAGGTTATCAACAGCACCAGAAAGAAAATCAAGGCACCAACCATCTGAGCTGCATCGGAGACTGACATCACCAAGGAACTGCCTGGTTCTCATACACATTCAGTTTCCATTAGCTTCAATATACAAGTCAACCAGATGTAATAGAACTACCAGCCTAAGACTACAGAAGCTATTCCCAACTCTAAAGACCTAGAAGGTATCTTAAAGGACCCCCTTTTACTTCTGAGGACAAACAGCACCTCATCAGGAATGCTTCCATGGGGCAGGCTATAGATTCTACCTTCTATTACAGCTAGAAGAGAAGATACACTCCAGCCAAGATGCTCTGGAGCATGACGGCTTCTGCTGAGAGTAGTGCACTCCCTCTTACCCTAAGGAGAATGAATCAGACAATCCCAGGGTGACTGAAACATGGGAGCTCTTGTTTTATGTTATTAAAGGCCTTCTTTTCACTGATGGGATGGATCCACAAGAACCTAATTTTTCTGTTTCAACCCCACAGCAAAAGTGCAACGCTGGTTTAGTAGGATTTACTTGCTCCAATTTTCCTTGAGAAATGGCACTGAAGATCAGTGGAAAATACAGTGAGATAGAAGAAAAACCTTAATGCTAACTGGACTAATAGAAGGACTCTTGAGAAGAGGTCCACAGAACAATAAACAAGTAGGAATGTGCTGTGGCCATGTAAGTGGTCCTTAGCGCAAACTACCTGTATCAAGCAAAATAATTTTAAAAGCATTCAGAAAGCCACCTAAGCCCTCTCCTTAGTTCTGCCAATCTGGAAATAAAAAGCCTGGATACTGACTGCCTCAGGGACTTAACTATCCCTTCCCTCCAGTCCCTCCACTCAAGTGAGAACTGCCTCTCCACACTGAAGTTCAGTGCCTGTTGTGTCTCTGAAGACAGACATCAAGAATTTACAAAACCATGACATAAATCTCAATGGCTTAGGAGGCTTACAGCAGGGGAGAGTGTCCTCATGCTGTCCTTAGGAGTTGGGATGTTTTTTGAGGCACACTATGTAGCAGGAATCTTAAAAGTTCTTATTAATAAAATCAAACCCGAGGCTAGTTATTGGGGTCAATGCTGGTAGATCAGAGAGACAGAACAAGCCACAACTATCTCACCTCGCGGATCCTCAGCTGGTCTTGTCTCCTCAGACTGGAGGCCTCTGAGTCCTCATCCGGAATGAGTCTCAGCTGAATTACTGCTCAAAAGCCTGAATGCTTAACCAGCCAAAATGCTGAACCAGCCAAAATGCTTCTAGTTTCTGGTCCTCACGCCTTATATATCTTTCTGCTTTCTACCACCACTCCCTGGGATGAAAGGCTGGCTTTCTGGGATTAAAGGCATGTGTCACCATGCTTGGCTATTTCCAATGTGGCCTTGAACTCACAGAGATCCAGAGGGATTTCTATCTCTGGAATGCTAGGATTAAAGGTGTGAGTGCCACCATTTTCTAGCCTTTGTATCTAGTGGCTGTCTGTTCTCTGACCCCAGATAAATTTATTAGAGTACACAATATTTTGGGGAACACAATACCACCACAACACTATCTGCCTGTGTCTGTATGCCAACCACCCCATCAACAAGATGAATGACAACACAACTATACAGTTCTACTGTCAACCAAACTAAGCCAGGAAGGGTGACAGCCCACCATGGAGCAGAGAGCTCTGTGAAGGTCAGACCACTGATGCTACATCTTCCTTTGGGGACCCAGAGCTCCTTCAGAAAGGCCTTCTGAACACCAGTATCCACAGGGGTCAGCTGTGGACTGGCTTATCTCACCAGAAAGGGTATTTCACAGTTACAATGGACTCTGTAAAGAAGCATCCACATTATTGCAAGAACACTGTCTCTTTTCTTACCTATCCTTCAAATGCAGCACACATAACAGATGCTCCAGGGAGAGGATTCCTCCTCTGACAGGTGAGCAATGGAGCACTGAGCCACATCCCCAGACAGCAAGAGTTGATCATCTCTAATCTGAAAACCTGAAATCCTTAAGGCTCCAAAAACTGACACTTTTGAGTACTGACATTATGCCACATATGGAAAGTTCTATATCTGACTTCATGTAGCAGGTTGCAGCTGAAAGGCACAATACCATATACAATTATTTCACTGTACAAGTGCCTGTAAAATAATTCAATTCTGTGTGTTGATTTGGATTTCACCTCCAAGATATCTCTTTATGGTTACAAGTATGCCAAACTCTCAGGTACTTTTTGGTCCTAAGCATTTTGGACAAGGAACATTCAATCCATAATATATAGATCTCCATCCACCAGCTGCTCTGATAGCAACTCCACAGGGCAGGTTTTTATGGACAGTGGAAATCAAAACAAGTAGAAACAGACCTTACAGAACAAATCCCAGAACCTTGACTTCAGAGAGAGAAGAGGATCTTTAATCCACTTGGCCACAGAACCTGACTATGGCTGGGGCTCTTCTGCATCAGAATGTCTCCTCTTCCAAAGACAGGATTAGGAAGAGGCAGAAGAGTCGAGAAACATGGTGAGTGAAGTATACCTTTAGCCTGTGCTTGGGAGGTGGAGACAGGTAGATTTCTGTGAATTCAGGGCCAAACTGATCTATACAGCAAGTTCCAAGCCAGCCTAGACTACACAGTGAGACCCAGTCTCAAAATAAATATATTAAATTAAAAAATTTTTAAAGGGGCAGGAGGGAGGGGTACACCATAGAAAGTAAAAGGGTGGAGTCTGATGTCTATTTTGTCAGAGTCTTCTTTTTTTTAAAGTACTTTAGGTGTGTGTGTGTGAGTTCAGGTGCCTGAGAAATTGGGATACTTGTGGAGCTTCAGTTTCATATAGCTGTGAGTTGCCCAACAGGGGTGCTGGGAACTGAAGGTGAGTCACCTGCAGGAGCAGCCAGCTGGTGTCAACACTTCCTTGTGGGTATTTTTCATATGCCTGTACAGGCCTCATGGGGCTTCCACCTTGTGTCCCTATACCCAGCACCCAGGGCACAGAGCTCAGAGCTGGCTCATTCAGGACACATGAGAAGGCTGAGGGTCCACTCCCAAGACAGCAGATACTTTGTCTGGGAAAACAGAGAAGACCCTCCTAGGAAGTATCTTCAGCCAGGTGGTGGGTTAACTTAAAATGTAAGAGTTAGTTAGTAATAATCTGAGCTACTGGCCAAACATTTGTAATTAGTATTAAGCCTCTGAATGATTATTTGAGAGATGCTGTAGGACAGAAAAACTCCACCTACAAAAGGGAGTGGCACTATTAGGAGGTGTGGCCTTGTTGGAGAAAATGTGTCACTGTGGGGCTGGGCTTTGAGGTTCCTTTTGCTCAAGCTTCCTCAGTGTAACTGACAGTCGACTTCCTGCTGCCTTCTGCCTATACAGTGCCAGGCTCCCTGCCATGATAATGGACTGAACCTCTGGAACTATAAACAAGCCACCCCAAATAAATGTTTCCTTTATAAGAGTTGCTGTGGTCAGGTGGGCGGTGGTGGCGCACGCCTTTGATCCCAGCACTCGGGAGGCAGAGGCAGGCGGATCTCTGTGAGTTCCAGGCCAGCCTGGGCTACCAAGTGAGTTCCAGGAAAGGCACAAAGCTACACAGAGCTGTAGCTCTGTCTCGAAAAACCAAAAAAAAAAAGAGTTGCTGTGGTCATGGTGTCTCTTCACAGCAATGGAAACCCTAACAAAAACAACAGATTACTTACAAAAAAAACAGGCAAGAGTGTCTGAGGTTTGCTGAAATTAGAGGCCATCAGAGTAGTGGTCCACTGCCACATCCAGTCAGTATCTAAAAACAGACTCAATCTCTAAACTGACCAAATGGTTCCAGTTTCAGGATGCTCTGAAGAATAGAGCTTATGTCCAGGTAAATGGCCCCAGGCAAACAGCCTTTGAACATCACTGCATGGCAAACTCAAACAATGTACTTCGCAGGTCACTTAGGATAAAGAACAAACAAAATGGTATCAGAATTTAGGGTAAAGGTGGGGCCACCTGTGGTGGTTTCAATAAGAATGGCCCCCAATGGTTTCATATATTTGCGCGCCTGGTCATTAGGGAGTGGCACTAGTTGAGAGGAATTAGGAGGTATGAACTTGTTAGAGTAGGTATAGCCTTGTTGGAGGAAGTGTGCTGTTGTGGGTGGGCTTTGAGGTTTCAAAAGCCCAAGCTAGGCTCAGTGGTTGTCTCTTCTTGATGCCTGCAGATACAGATGTAGAACTCCCAGACATTTTTCCAGTACCATGTCTGCCTGCATGCAACCATGCTGTCCACCATGGTGAGAATGGACTAAGCCTCTGAAACCACAAGCAAGCCCCAATTAAATGCTTTCTTTTATAAGAATTGACGTGGTCACAGCATCTCTTCACAACAATAGAACACTGACTAAGACACTATCTGAACCTGCTGAAACAGGGATGGATACAACAAACCAAAGTGGCCCTGAAAAAGGAACAGGGACCAGCTTGGCTCCCAAGTCCCTGGCTATTCAGCAGTAGCACTGACCAAGACAAAGAATCACTTTTTCCACCAGCATAACTTCAGTATGAAAAATAAGAAGGTTCTTTATAAATAGTCTAGAAATATTCCTTCAATCTCTACTTTCTACAGAACACCTTACACTTGGATCTGTCAAGAAAAAATGAAGTATTTTAACAACTAGGGTAGGAGAGCATCCTTACCCTAACTCAGAGCCCCCTAGAGCTGTAGCTACCTCTTCCCTTCCCCAGCCTACCGCAGGCTCCTGGGCAGCGGCTGGCTGTGGGGCTGTGGCCGACTGTGCCTGAGGCTGTGGTACCACCACAGCAGTCTTCTGCTGCAGGGCAGTCTGCTGAGTCAGCTGCTGCTGCTGCTGCTGCTGCTGCTGCTGCTGCTGCTGCTGTTGCTGCTGCTGCTGGTAGAAGTTCTGTATCAGCTGTTGCTGAGAGCCTCCCTGGGATACCACAGGGAACGGAGCAGTGACTGGTTGCTGGGCTGCTGGATGTGCTGCCTGAAACTGTCGAGGAGAGTGGCAGGAAATGAGGAGGTGAATACAAGTCTATCACAGAGCCACATTCACAAAAGACCAAAGTCTCAATAACTATAAAGACAATGCTGAAGCCAAAGGGAGGGCCCAGCAAAAGCTTGGTAGCTGGGCCAAGTAGTTCAGGACAGGACTCAGGGCATTAGAATCACACCAGCAGCATCTGCACTGCCAGACCCTACCCATTGCACCAGGCTGCTTCCCAGGTACAGTCACACGGAAGCTCCAAGATCTAACTCAAGTGACTCTGAGGCCTGGAGTGAAGAGAAGCAAGTGAGGATCTCCAGTGCAGAAGAAATCCTTCTTATAAAGAATTTTGAAGCAGCCAAGAACCAAATTCATCCCTGCATGAACAGAATGCCTCAGTGATATTGCTGAAAGAGCAACTGAAATGTTAAGCAGTGACTAACACCTATCCAAACCTTGCCAAAGTTATTCCCAACAGAGCTCCCTTTATGAAATTCTGCAATCTCAAATATCCTATCACTAATGATCCTCCTCTTCTATGTGCTTTATGTGGAGTCTCACTACACTGCCAAAGCTTGTTCCAAAAATGTGTGGGTTCCAGCCACCCTGCTAACTAAGCTTCCCAAGTAGCTGGGGCTAAAAATGCACCCCACACCCATCTTCCTGGCATCTCTTTCATGTCTCTCTAATCTGTACTGCTTCAAACTTCAAATGCTAGGTACACTAACAAAGCTCAAAATAAGAGTCTACTAATACAAAAGTAAAGTCTTGGAAAATCCTCAAAACCGTTACTGAGTTAATTGGGATAGTCTGGATACCATGTGTCTACTAGTGTAAAATGTCAGCAAAAACAACATGTAAGAATATAACTGCCTGTTTAAAGCAATAACCAAGACCCACCCACCGGGGAATCAAAGGGCTGTGGTCTGTCCTTAAGGGTAGTAAGGGGACACTCTAAAGAAGAGGATAGCAATAAGGAGTATATATTTGCAAGAATGAGAGGACAGAATTTTGTAGATCTAACTTTAAAACTACTTACTTATTATTACACGTGCATAAAACAAAACTGATGTAGCTGGAAGTTTTTCTGTGTCCTACTTGGTCCACAGATGTTCAGAACCAAGTAAACACACAGAGGCTTATATTAATTATGAACATTGTGGCCTATTGGCTCAGGCTTCTCGCTAGCTAGATCTTACATCTTAAATGAACCCATTTCTATAAATCTATACTTGCCATGTAGCTTGTGGCTTACGGGTATCTTTACATCTTGCTTCTCCTGGTGGCAGCTTGCAGCTGCCTTTCAACTCTCTCCTCTCTAGTTAGAATGTCCCACCTAACTCTATTCTGCCTCACCATTGGCCAAACAGCTTTATTTATCAACCAATCAGAGTAACATTTTCACAGCATACAAAAAAAGACATTCCCCATCACTTCCCCTTTTCTTTCTAAACAAAAGGAAGGTTTTAAGTTTAACCTAGTAAAATTATATATAACAAAACAATTATCAAGCACCTTCAGTTACAAATGGTGCCAAGATGTGGGGTGAGAGTTTACGCCTAAAACCTGAGAAAACTTTAAAAACGGGTTCTAAAATGGAGCCAAGAACAGCTTCCTAGTTGTCTCTCTCAGGCCAGCTGTAGCCTGCGGGCTTGATGAGGGCTTGACCGGCAGCATGGCAGCAATGAGGTGTCTCCAAGCCACACATTACACTGCATCGTGGATTTAGCCTTTGCTAATACAGACAAAAAGAAAAAGAAAAAGAAAAAGAAGAAAAAGAAAAAGGAGGGGAGGAGGGGAGGGGAGGTTTTTGGGCTACACACTGCTGGATGGAAGCATAGACCCACTGCCTCCCAGAGTCAGCAGACAGCCTGGTTCCCAGAGTTGGCAGTAAATGTAGTTCCACCATGTTGGGAAGCTGAAGTGGGCAGAGCCAGCAGCCAAAACTGCCATTTCATACCTAGCAATGCTGCAGTTTAAAGCAATAGATTCACAATAAGGCATATTCAGATGGAACAAGACTTTAAATGGTTTACAGTGTGTGTAAAATGCACGTAGGCTTGGAAGAGAGAAAAGAATGAATATAGACAGTTATACAAAGAAATAGTTTTAAAAAGATGGAACTCACACAGAGAGTCTGGATTATATTGTCTTTGGGATTTTTAACTACAGAAAGACATTTGATTGTAAAGGTTGCTTAGTTAAACCAATATGTGTATTTTAAAGGTATCTTGACTTCAAAATTTGGATCTAAGGATATGTTGCTTTGGAAAAGAGGTTCTGTTTTATTTCCACAGGAAACAAGAGGCTATGGATTTGTTCCAGATTAAGATACATAAGGTTTGATCAGCCAAGACCTCCTGAGAGGTCTCGAGATGATCCAACACCCAGAACAGTTTCAAGGCAACTGGCTCAGACAATGCAGCCTCACAGACTACTCCAGTCAGGACTTGACCATAATTCTTAATTTTCTCAGGAACCTCAAAAAAATACAGTGCCCCTTATCAGCAGAAAGTAGCCGAGAAAACTACACCCACATTCCCAAAAAAATGGATTATAGATGTCTGTCTTTGTTTAGGTTGTTGGTTACAAATTGTTATTGGTCATAGTCAATATCTTTCTAAAGAAAAAAACGGGGATAGGATATAGATATGATAGGATGAAAGGGTAGATTATTGAATCTACCTTTAAGAGCAACAACTGTGTAAAATGTTTTAAAATTGCTATAGATTTTAGTTTATTGATACAAATTTAAAGTTAATTTTGTTATACTGTATGTATATTTCTACTCTTGTTTAAGGTACTATGTTTATGTAACTCACTTAAATTGTAATGGATAATTAAGAAATACAGATTAATAATTAGTCATCAATGATAAAACTATAGTCTAACATGACTATAGTTAAGTTTTCTAGGTATACATAGATATATTTCAATGTGGTAGGTAATCTTCAAACACTTCAAAGACCTACAGAATATGGCATTTAAAAATGTTTTAAAAACTTAGACTTTTTGGACAATGAGACATGTCTGTTCCTGGCACCACCGATTTACTTCAAAGAGAAAGATGGGCGTTGAAGACACTCCATATGGAGTTTATCTTCTTCTTGGCAAAAATAGCCATTTGAGCAAGAAACTGTTCTTGCCTAAACTGCTTGTCAAAATGTTGTATTGACTGGACATGCAGGACACATAAGAAGGTGACCACTGAACTCTGCCAGATGAGATGGTCCTTCAGGTTCCTGCTTCATAGAAGAAACTGCCAGACATTCTACAGGACACAGGAAGACTCTAGGCCTGTAAACTGAAGAAGGATGCCCTAACATTGCAGAGGAACTTTGATTGACTGTCCAAGGAGACAGCTGTCTCTATCATTCTATATTTTTGGAAGTTGCTTACAATGCATTTCCTGTTTACTTAGATAATATTGCATCCTTCTGAGGTCTTTGATGTAGTTGAAAACTAGATTATTATAGTTATAATTTTTCTTGGTTATGATAAAAGATAAGTTAGATATGAAACCTTAGACTCACAAATATACGATAAATAGAATATTTTCTTTGAATATGCTAAATAAAAAGACTAGATATTGTAACTGTTATTCTTGCTTGATAATTGTTCTATTATATGTAATTTTACTATGTTAAAGCTGAAAACCTTCCCTTTTGATTAGACAGAAAAGGGAAAATGCTGTGGGATAATGATTTTGTACACTGGTTTAATAAAATGCTGATTGGCCAGTAGCCAGGCAGGAAGTATAGGCAGGGTGAAGAGATTAAAGGAATTCTGGGAAGGGTCAGGAGATGCCAGCCCGCCATCCAGGGAGCAGCATGTAATGGCACACAGGTAAAGCCACAGAGCACGTGGCAACATATAGATTAAAAGAAAGGGGCTGAGTTTAAGTGTAAGAGCTAGTCAGTGGTAGGCCTGAGCTAATGGCCAAGCAGTTTTAATTAATACAAGCTTCTGAGTGATTATTTTATAAGCAGCTATGGGGTCGTGGGGCTGGGTAGGACTGGAGAAAACTTCAGCCACAAACTGACCCAAAATGTGGAAAGCAAAATCAAAATGAATTCAATAGTCTGTGTATCCAATTGGCAGCTACTCCACAGAAAATAATGTGCTTTATATTCTAAGGTTGCCAGGCATGGTGGTGCATGCTTGCAATCCTTGGACTCAAAAAGCTGAGGCAGGATGACCACTAAGAGTTCGGTGTGAGACTTCATCTCACAACCAATAAGCAACAAAAAATCTTCAGATGGTAAAAACCACATAAGCCAAGAAGTTAAACAAAAATCTTATAATTAGGAGTCTGAATTAGGTGTATAAATCTGAACTCATATGTATGTTTTCTAATAAAATAAACACATTTCTAAGTATCTACTAAAAAGTTCTAGAAACAAATACCAAATGACCCAATAGCAAGTAGTCATTTCTAAAGCCAACTGTGGTTTCTAATTATCATTCCCATTAAAAACAATCTGATCTTGAGAGAAATGGATGACTCTAAGTAAAGAGCAGAATAATCCTGGGACAGTCAATACTCTGGCAAAAAAAAAAAAAAGAAAAAAAAAATATCACTGACCACTGCAGTCACATCCAAAGGATCTAGAAGCCAATTTAAAAGGACTTGGACAATCTGAGCATGTTTAAAAATGGTCACATACACAAATCGATGAACTTACAATGATACAAAGCAAAACACTTACTGTAGCCACATCTGCCAACTGATCTCTACCCCTGGAACCCAATGGTAGATAGAGAGAACAAACTCCTGAAAGTTGTCCTTTGACCTTCAAATGCACACCATAGTGCACAAGCTAACACACCTATACAGACACACATCCTAAATGAAACATGTCTAATATATTTTGAAAAATTAACAGTTTACATAGTAGATGGTGGAATATATCAAAAGCCACCAAAGGGTAAACAAGCCAAGTTTGGAATACTCAAAGCTTCAAATAATCCAGTTTCTTCAAAAAATACATGGCAAAAGAGACAAAAGAGGATGTAAAAGACATAGAGACCTCTTCCTGTGGCTGGAGAGCTGGCTCAAAGGTTAGGAACACTTGTTGGAGTTCAGATTCCAGCACCCATATAACAAGCCAGGTGTCCCACAAATGCCGGTGACTCTAACTCTTAGGGGTTCATTGCTCCCTCTTGCCTCTGAGTGTTCACAAGTGTATGCATTCAAATATATACATGTGCATACACTCATACACATACACAGATACACATTTTTAAAAAAGAAAGCAATCATAAAACAAAGGTGTTCAAAGTTAAAAAAATACTGTAATGAAAAAATACATAAAAATAATGGGAAATAATATATTCCAACCAAACAGGATACATGGACCTTGTTTGGATCCTGATCTCACCAAGAAAACATAAATATCTGAAACAGTTTGATACTATTGGATACTGTGTGCTGATAGAACATCACTGTTATTTTCCCCACTTACAAAGTAGCGCCTTCACTGAGGGTGCTAAGTTGGGGTAAACTCCCCAAAGCTTGAAGACAACACTGAAAGGCCTGAGAGTCATTAATCTGCACCTTTATGTTTCAGTTTCTACATCTGTGAGAAGTGATGGTGCACTGGCCAGTGGCTCTGGGCTATCCTAGCACTTTCCAAGAAAGATGCTGTACCTAGGAGGCCTTTCAATAGCAACAATTCCACTATGCAAAGCAAGGGTCATATAGACATCCTCACCTGCTGTGTCTGAGCTTGCTGCTGCTGTTGCTGCTGCTGTTGCTGCTGCTGCTGCTGGTAAAAGGTGCCTGTTGGCTGTTGTGGTGCTGTCTGCTGCTGTGGCTGTTGCTGCTGTGGCTGTTGCTGCTTGAGGAGGAGCTGTTGCTGGTGCTGCGGAGTGGCCTGGGCCTGGGTGGGCAGACCTTGGGTCTGGTTAGAAGGTGTCTGCTGTGGGGTGGGTGGAGCTTGTGGCTGCTTGGGCTGAGATTGTTGAAGAGGTTGATTGGGTGTAGGTTGGGCTTTAGATTGGGGAACACTGGCTAGAAGGCCAGGCTGATTGCTGGGTCCTGCAATGAAAATAAACTCCATGTAAGGGTTCAAAACTCTACCAGACAAATGGCTTTCTGATTTGTCACCTGAGAAATGGTAGAAGCAGGCAGACTATACCAAGCTTTGCCTGCTCCTCACCATTTTGCCATTTGTGATGTTCTATTTGGAATAGATTTCCATTTCTTACCAATGTGCTTCCAATATTTCAAACCCAGACAGAATTGTAAGATTCAACACTTGCCTCCTTCAGAGGGATTTCCCTTATCCATCATCCCATTTAGCCAACTAGTCCTGTAGTCAGAACCCTTAGTCACCCTTCTATACACACACACTAAACATGATCTTTGTTCCAGCTTGCATACCCACAGCAAAAAGCATTCTTTGATATTTTATGAGTAGCTTTTACAGCTAGCATCTGAATGCCTGGCTATATAAAAAAGGCCACCAAATCTATCAAAAGTGGTTCCTGGTAAAGGATGTGATAGTTGTGGTCTATGACTTGTTATTCTGGATCAATCCCTGCTTGAAACAAAGCTAATTCCTCTCATATAACAGAATACTATGACAGAGGATGATAAATTAATAAGTGAAGCATTAATGAAATGCTATTCTTATATAGTTATCCAAAAGAAGTGAGCTTTGTTTCTTTAAAGAAAGGAGAAATATATAAAATAAAGAAATAGGAAGGGTGGATGGCCTAAAGGTCCAATAAGAAAATAAATGCAGACAGCAGGCTTCAGAGGTCTTGGCGGTCAACCTGAGTCCAGAAAGGAGGTCCTCCTTTGGCAGCCACTTGCCATACACATTCCCTGGCAATCAGCCCATTAGTCTTTGGGCTGTGCCTTCTAACACTATAGTCAAGAAGCACTGCAACAAGCTGCAAACAGTTACTGACCTGCAGCCTGAGGTAGGGGCTGAACAGTGGCTCTCTTACGAGGAGTCAGGGCTGGCTGAATGGGAAGGATTCCTGGGTTTGGCTGAGTCTGCCCAGCCTTAGGCCTCTGGCGGGGTGCGATTGAAGTCTCTGTGGTGGGAATGGGATCTGTCAGTCTAGAAAAGGAGAAACAACATTGCTATTAAAATGGGGGGAACCAGAGAGCATAGGCAGAACACATGATGTTTTACCTTCAACATTCCTTCAAACCATTCAGATTTGCTTAATCAACACTTTCCCAAATGCCAACTCATCTACAAAGGCAAGCACATCAAAATAACATCTTATCTCTCATTAGCAACCTTAAAGCCAGGAAAACACAGAATGATACATTTCAAACCCTGAAAAAATACAACTCCCAACCAAAATTACCATACTTAGCAAAGCAATCTTTAAAAACCAATGGAGATTCAAGGACATGAGGGGAGGTGTATATGAGCCATGATGCACATGTGGAGGTCAGAAGACAACAACTTTGAGTATTGGTTCTCCCCTTCTACCTAGTTTGACACAAGAGTCTCCCTTATACAGCACTGACTACATCAGGCTAGCTGGTCTGTCAACTTCCTGCAATTCTCCTATGTCTGCCTCCCATCTCCTGGTACATGCTAGAATTACAGACACATGCCCTACTGTATCCAACTTTTACATGGGTTCTGCCAAGTACTTTACCTACTAGGTCATCTCCCCATTCTCAAATAAGGATATGTTAAGACAAGCACAAACTAAGGGAGCTCGTGACTACTAACCCAGTTACAAACCCTGCAAAATAACAGTGACCTGCCTGCATGATACGCTGGTACAACAGTGGTACAAACATTGTGGGAATAAACAACCACTATCCGGTTGGATTTAAGGGTCACTCCACAAGACAGAACCCATACCCCAAACCTGAGACTAGACAGACCATGGGCGAAGGGGAACACCAAACACTACTGTTCTGCTAAAGGAGCACAGCCATGAAACAACTGCTGGCAACATTTGCTGCTTTATCTCTAGATCAGTGTCTTGTTCAGCCATCTTTAGAGAAGCTTTCCTCTTGCTGCAGTAGATGGGAACTAACATAGAGACCCTCAACTGGATACTGACGAGAATGAGAAACTGGAACGCTCAGTCCTAAAAGGGATGTCTTCATCAAACCCCTCACCTCAGGGCTCAGGGAGCCAGACAGAAGAGGAAGGGAAAAGATTATAAGAGCCAAAGGAGATGGAGGACACCAAGGAAATGTGTCTTCAGACAAAACAGGGCTGAGGGACATAGGAACTCACAAGACTATGGCAGTATACACAGGGTCTGCACAGGTTCAAGACAGATGGAGTTCCAGCACTGAGACAGGGAAATGGACATGATCTCCCATCCCTAACCAAGAAGCTGTCTCCAACTGGCAACCACATGCAAAGGAAAACTTAGTTTTCTTCAATAAAGTCTCACTGGGTAGAGAAACCACACTGAAAGGCAGGCCCTAAGGCCCAGAAGATAACCAACACAAAATGTACCCAATGGTGCTTTTCTAGACTTTTTTTGTGTCATATTGTTTTGTTTGGCGTATTTTTTTAAATCTTACTGGTCTTTTGCTTGTATATTAATTATGGTTTCCAATTTTATGGTTTTTTTTTGTGACTTTTCCTTTTTTGTGTATGTATCTGTTTATATATGTGTTTCTTGTGCTGTCTCAGTTTTTTTCTATTATTATTATTTTTCATTTTATTTATTTAATTATTTGTTTTTGGGTTTTCGTTGCTGTTGCTTTTCATTATTTGTGTTTTGTTTTTTTGTTTTTTTTGTTTTTTTTTAAGATAGCATTTTCTCTGTGTAGCTCTGGCTGTCCTGGAACTCTGTAGACCAGGCTGGCCTCCAACTCATAGAGATCCACCTGCCTCTGCCTCCTGAGTGCTGGGATTAAAGGCATGTGCCACCACTGCTGGCTCTTTTTTTTTTTTTTTTTTTTTTTTAATTGGCCAGGGTTTTTTTTCTAAAGAGAGAGAGGAAGAAGGTGTGGAGTTGGATGGGTAGGGAGGTGGAGAGGATCTGGGAAATGGGGGAGGGACACAGTGGCCAGAATATATTGTATGAATTTCCAATAAAAAAAAAAATTGAGCTACCTCCCCAGTTTCTGAATATACTTTTTAATGACAAATGAGTTTATCAAAGAAATTAGGGGGAAATAAAAACTTTATATTATTAGTAATAATTCATTTACATTTAGTAAAAATGTTACTAAATGTCTCCAGTAAAAAAAAAATTTTAAAGCCGGGTGGTGGTGGGGCACACCTTTAATCCCAGCACTCGGGAGGCAGAGCCAGGCAGATCTCTGTAAGTTTGAGGCCAGCCTGGTCTACAGAGTGAGTTCCGGAACAGCCAGGGCTACACAGAGAAACTCTGTTTAAACACACACACACACACACACACACACACACACACACACACACACACGAAAGAAAAAAAATGTACTGGGTGGACAAATAAGTTTTAAAAACACTGACCAAGTCTATGAACAGATTTCTTCAGCATGTCAATGTGCAGAGTGACTGGTATTGAGATTCCTCTACAGAGAAACAGTGTTCTTTAAGCTGATCCCATCTTGAGACACTTTCACCAAACACAGGATTTCCAGAATCTACTCTGGGTAATGGTTGGGGCAGTGGTTTTTCACACACAGAGAACTTAAACTTGGTTGAAAATAGCTGCGACAATGGGCTCTCTAGGGACTGGAGAGATGGCTCTGTAGTTACAAGTGCTTGCTATATATACTTTCACATGGCCTGAGTTCTTAACTCCAACTCCAGGGGATCAGATGACCTCTTCTGACCTTTGTGGGCACCTATACTCACACAGACATAGCACCACACAGACTTAAACAAAAACAAATCATTTTAAAAGGTGGGGGAACTCTCTACAGTGAAAAGCATGCAGATGAATGAACCCAACATGACAAATGAAAGAACTAAGCAAATAGTCCAAAATAAAGAGTTTAAAATTGGGGAGTGTGACAGGAACACCATTTCTAAAATATGCATACTCGTTTGTTTTCCAAAATAATAAATTTTCAGTTTGACACAGAGTCATCTAAGATACAGATCACATGGCACAGCCTCTTTTGCAATCTGAAATGACCAAGTTCTGGCTGTATACAGAACAGAAAGGATGACTATCTGGCACTTTCTAGAAACCTTAAAGAATAATGGTCTCTTTGACTGTTTCTTGATTTTGCTGCTTTGAATATGGATGCTGCCACATTAACCCAGGAGACCATAGCTTTGTCGTAAGGTGGGAAAGTGAAAAGCATGAAGAAACCCAGGACTCCAGAGCTTCATGGAGCAGAACTACCAGACTAGCTATGGTGGTCTGAATAAGGTGTCCCCACAGTGTGAGACCCCTGACTACTTGGTTCCCAGTTGGTGATGCTATCCACAGAGGAACTATGTCACTGGAGGTGGGTTTTGGGAGCTGAAGGCCTTGCTTTCCTTGCAGCTGCTCCCTGCTTCATGCCTGCAGTAAAGGATGTGAGATCCCAGCAACATCTTGCTCCAGCCACCATGCCTGCTGCTTGCTGCCGTGCCTCCCCATCATGACAGACCCCTATCCCTCTGGAACCATAAGCCTGAATAAAATACTTTCTTCTACAAGTTGTTCTGGTCGTGGCTCAACAGGTAGAAGCACACACTGCTTCTGCGGAGGTCCCTGGAGTTCAGGTCTCAGCACTCATGCTGGGTGGCTCACAACTCCTGTAACTCCAGCTTCAGGGGATCCACTAGCCTCTTCTCACCCCTAGGGGGGCACCTGCACTCAGAACACATAAATCTGCTTGCCCATCCACATTTACACTTAAATAAATAATCAAATATTTTTAAAATGCAAATATTGTTATCCAGAGTCTTTATTTACAGTCTGTCACTAGCATTTCCTTGCCATTGGAGGATGGCAGGAAAAGGAGGGACAGAGAGCCTCCCGGTCACCTTTAGAATTTTTCATTTGGAATCCACATAAATGTGTCTGGCAGACCCTGAGCTGTGAAAGGTATGAAAACCAATCTAAAAATCCAGTCCAGTATGGCCTGTAGCTTCCTTCCCACAGAGCGCTCTCAGGCCCCAAATCACAAGTGTAGAGACTCCAGTAGGAAGGCGCTCCTCTGCTGGCTGACTCTGGGATAAGTACTTCAGCCATCCTTCCTGAAATGGTATTGTAGTCTGGGTCATGTCTACCCACTATTCTCCTTCCCCTCTGAAGTGAGACTTGTACCTTCCAACCACCTACCCAGGATTTCCTGGCTTGCTCCCTTCTCCTCTGACTTGGGTATCTCCCCTTACTTGTTTAATCCTTTCTTGAAGACCCATGGTGACTCCAGTGCAATTAGCTAAGACCTAGAGGGATCTTTTGGTGTTCATGGACTTTCATTTCAACTGCACTTTCCTAATATGGCTGGAGCCAGAGAAGAAAGGAATGTGTCAGACTAGGGGGTAAACATGGCTAACCACCAGCTTAGAAACAGGTTAGGACAGACAATTCTCTAGCACCAACCCTTAAAGTCTAGCATTGTCTCATCCCAGAAAGCCCCTACCATCTATTGCCATGCAATGGGTGACATCTGTGAGGTTACTGATTCCTTTCAAATGTAGATCTCAGCATTTTATTATATCCCTCTTGGCAATCCCAAAGAACAGTTTCTGCATAGGGTGACAGAGCTTGCTTTCCTGATCTGGGCAGCCTCTAGTCACAGCCACACAGGACTTCAGCAGCAGGCACCCCCACCGCAGCTGGCAACAAGCACAATTGAGGGTAAGCAAGCTCTTGAGGGTATTTCTTACCTGGCCTTTGGCTGGCTCTTTTTCACAGCTGCCTCACTCGCTTTCACTGGTTCAGGAAGTTTTGCAGGAATGGGAGAGTTCTAAAATGGGAGAGTTGAAAGTGAAAAAAGCACGTGGATTTCTTTGTAAATAATAAGCAATCTGAGGCCAGGTATGATGGCGTATGACAGTAATCCCAAGACATGGGAGTTGAGGCAGGAGGATCATGAATCCTGTTTTAAAACATACAATAAATAATCCAAACAAGAAACAACCAGTCTGACTAGGGCTAATGGAAGTAGCATTTGGCGTCTTCTAATATGAATTCTAAGGCCTCATCTCCCTGTTAGAGGGAAAGGAGGCTAGACAAATGCTTGAGATGGAGTCACAGAAGTAAAATGCCCAAGAAGAAAGAAAGAGCAGCAGAGGGAACAAGGCAACTGATCCTTCTAGGGAAACACAGCAGACATGCTGCTCTCAGTGAGGGGTGGTCATTCTCCTCAGCTCAGTCCCTAGGCATTTGGGGAGGAGGTTGGTGATGTTCAGTGAGTTGTCTCAGTTTCATAACTAAATTCATGGGAAAATTGGGTTCTCTTTATAGTAACTGCTTTGCTTGAATGTCCTATAGTGGGCAAAGCAAGGGACGTTAGTATTCATTGAATCTAGAGATTAACACCCATAATGACTCAAAAATAACAATTTGATGATCTTTACTTCCTTTAAATAGCACCATTTTAATGGACTCAACGCAGCTGTGGTTATATGCACAAGATCTACCCAAGATCAAGTTAATCAAATTTCTAGGGACTCATGAGGCCCCACATCTTGCTGAGGAGTTGAGCAGTTGATGCCTTTTGAGGGAGAGTCATTTGTCTTTGGAGATGTAACAACAGTGGGTAGCCAATGCTCAGGTGGAGAGCCCCACATCTGTGGGCATACGAGCAAAACTAATAGGATTCAGTGGGTTATTTTTAAAAAAAAAAAAAAAAAAAAGGAAATGACATGAATTTGGGAGGAATGGGCTAGAGAGGGTGCCAGAGGAGTTAGTGTTGTTTTGAAAAATGATAAGCGGCGCTGGTTACCAGGCAAAAAGGTCATGAGACACAACAAACCCCAGTATCAGAGCTTATTAGGAGGAAGTGGGGGACTTGGGAAGAAGCACATGCAGAAAGAGAGAGGTGGGGGGAGAGCAAAAGAGAGAGGAGGAGTCTGTGTCCGGCTTCTTAAGGATTCCCGTGCACATGTGCAGGTGGGCTTACGGAGCCACACCATGCATGTGCTGATTGCATGACCGTGCTGCGCGCATTTGGGCTATCACGCAGCACACTGATGATGTAAGACTAAGACCCCTTACTTAGCTACTGAACTGCGCATGTTCGTTAATGCAGCTGGAGGAACAGCAGAATCCTAACAGTTAGAGGGAGGAATAGGGATGGATATGGTCGAAATATATTGTATTTGAAATATATTGTATATGAAATTCTCAAAGAACAAATAAAAACAACCTTAAAAATTATGAATATTTTTAAAAAGCACCATTACATACCTGTACATTTGGAACTGGGCATTCTTTCTTGAGTAGTTTAAATGAGAAGTAAGAAACCTGGTAAATATCCGGCCTTTTGTCAGGGTCTGGTTCCAACATATACCCTAAGACAAATATACATGAACTTATTCCATAATATCTTAACAGTTGTTGCATCAACTAGGTAACTAAACTTTTCCAATTGAAGTTGGGTTGTATTTTCAGTTTCAATTCTCATAAAGGTCAGACAGTTCAATTAGCCCCTTTCCTAGCAAGGGAAACAAGAAAATTCCCTGAGCTGTAGTAAAGCTACTTGGGGTTCATATCCTGTATGTCAGGGGCTCACACTCTTGACAAAAAATGAGCAGCTTCATATTCTAAGACTTAAACAAATACAACCAAACTTCAGAAATCATGAACTCAAGGTTTGGTGGAAGACAATCCCTGGGTTCTGTCTCTAGATCTAAAAAACAAACTCATGAATTTACTTACTATTCTTGTTGGAGATATAAGCTGGTTTTTAGTTTGAGGAAAATTAAGAAGTTAACATACTCAGCTCCATAGATTGCCTGTCTATTTCCAGGTCCTTCAAGTGTCTCTGACACTGGAAAATTCCTCAGGAGAAATCTTTGAGAAGATGCAAGCACATGTGTAAACACACGTAAAATGAGTCAAGACAGTTTACTGTTTGAGGAACAAATGAACTGGGCACTAAGTTCCGAAAAGATCTGTGAGGCTGAGCCTCGAATGGCCTTGCCAAAGAGCCAAGACAAAGTTAGTCATTGAAGAGCAAAGAAAAAGGCAGTCTAGATTAGAGGACAAATGCCAACAAAGGCAAGCTTAGATAAAGGCCAGAAAATGAACACCGCTACCTGGAAACATGAGCCCAAAGGACAATGTGCCAAGATGGCTGCCTGAGTGGGACAGAAAAGACTACAAAGGACCCTAAGCACCATGCTAAGAATCAGGGCCTAATTGTGGGACCATTGGCAAGCCACTCAAGTTTACTCAATGGGACATGAGAAGGTGACATTTTCTAGGAATAATCCATGGTAGAGATGTCCTGGAAGAATGAAAAGAGAGTAGAGAAGCTGGGGGCAATGTACCAGGTCATGATCTACCAGAGTTTGTACATACTTTGGCGACAATGAAGAGAATCAAGACAAGTGATTAAAGAGAATCGATACAGCTTAAGACAGCTTCTTCCAGAAAATTGTTATCTATCCAGACATGGATGGCAACACCACCAAAAGAAAGTGAAAAAGGACACTCTGGGGAAAGGCATTGGGGAGGCAAGAAGAGGCCTACAAGTTCACAGTCTCCAAAATCTTCAAATAGCGCGCACACTAAATAGTCTAGAAAAGGTGTCAGTGCAACAGTCCCTCAGAAAGAGCTGTTTTCCAACATGAATTCACTGCTGCAGATATTAGAAAGGAAAAGTAGAAAAGAAAAAAAAAAAGCTAAGAGCGACACCAAGACCAGCCCTTTCTCCACTTCCTTGCACATCTGCAGTCCTAGGATATAGACACACTGCTGTGACTCTGCAAGCGATCTGACAATTCTCAAGAGCCACACTCCTACCCGAAAAGCACATCACCCTCCTGCTCATTGAGAAGTGTCACAATGGAAAGGGCGGTTGTGGAACTGCCAGAATTTTGTCAGCTCGAGTAAATCTTCTGTTCCCTCTTGTGGGTAATATGGACAATGACCCTTAAGATATACAGGTCTTGCCAGTCTTAGTGTGGCACACCTTTAATCCCAGCACTCAGGAGGCAGAGGCAGGCGGATCTCTGTTGAGTTTGAGGCCAGCCTGCTCTACACAGTAAGTTACAGGACAGTTAGAGCTACATAGTGATATGCTGTCTCAAATTACAAACAAACAAACAAACAAACAAACAAATGCATGCAGTCCCACCAAACCTACAGGTTTTGAGAAGTAGGTGAGGTATAAGTAGGCCTCAATACAGATCAATGTTCTATACACTTGTCTTTCTCTCAAACTAGGTAGCTCAGGATTTATGGTCTATGGTGCTTTTTCAAACTTATCTGCTAAAGGTCTTGACCAGCATTTTAAAAGATTATTTTTTTAAAATAAAAAATCTGTTTCCTTAGCATTTTATATAGGTTCTGGTACAAAGCTTACTTTTCTGCCATCTGGTTAATGGATGTTAGTACATATGCTGGCTATGATAACACAAAGAATGAAAATCTTCAGAATTTTAAACAAAACATTCAATTTAGATGCTTGTTGTAAAAATCCGGTGATAACCTAAATAAGAGGAAAAACCTGGCTCCATGGAGTTCTATGGTCTTAATTACATATTCATTCCGGCACCGCAATCATGCTCACTTGAGCGGCTTTCAGCTTTGCAAAGATAACTTGCTTATCCCTTGATGTGAGTCAGCTGGACTCTGAGTTCTTAAATAGACTGCAGCAGAACACAGCAGCAGCATGCTGCTCGGAGCACAACTACCATTCCCATTTGTGTGGCTGGCTCAGCTTCGAAGCAGAGTTTAGTTTTCTAGCAAAAAGACCAGCTTCTCTAAGTGAACACTGCCATGCTATCACTGTTCCCAACAGTATCAAATGATTTCTTTATCTTGTTCCTGGAATTTAATCCCTTTACCCTCCAATCCATTCCTAGTGATTAGAAATAAAAACATGAAACTGGAAACTTGAAATACTTACTAATAAGGCAATGCATGTCTTGAGAATATCGAGAGTTATCAGGAATTGTGAAGCTTCCATCGCAAATTGCCACCTGGCTCTCTCCAAATGGCAAAGTGAAGTAGCATAATTTATATAACAAACAGCCAAGAGCCTAAAAAATAAGAAAGCAGATTGCAACTAGTAGTTAATTTACCATAAAGCCAGCGATCTGCTCAGAGACCAGTACCAGCCATGTTTCACAGCAGAAACAAACCCCACATAACATTACCTATGCAACACTTGAATTTAGAACCCAGAGTGACAATCTAGCATCTGAGTTACATTTTTATCTATGACGAGTAAAGACTATTTCACCTGGTCTGTACTTTAGAAGTAGACCATACAAATGAAAAGCACAGGTACACATGCAAAGTAGTTTTTTATTATTATTGTTGTTGTTGTTTGTTTTTACCCCATATACCAAGAGGCCATGGCTATCCCCAGACATCAAGATCAGCAACAAGGTCGCTAGACAGATGGCTCAGTGGTTAAGAGCACTGGCTGCTCTTCCAAAGGACCCAAATTCAATATCTACCACCCACATGGTGGCTCACAACTATCTATAACCTCAGTTCCAGGGGATTCAATACTGTCTTCTAAGGGCACTGCACACACATGGTACATAGACACACATGCAGGCAAACATACATACACATAAAATAATAAAATAATCAACAGTGGGCAACACTGTATGCTTGCCCCTGGCTAGTTAAGCTTAGGAGTCCAGCCAAGGCCTGCTGACATCTGGGGTGCAAATGGCTTAGTTGACACATACCCAAATGTCTGCCTTCGTAGTGATGATTTTGCCACTGTACAAGTTGACCATTTCTGGAGCTCGATAGGACAGTGTTGTGTATCTACAATCAAAAGATCCACGGTTTGTTAAATATATCAGTATTATCATTAAATCAAGGAGAAACAATTTTTATTCACATTACTAGAATCAATTTTTGGCAGCAATCTGCAGAAGAGCAAATTAAATATTAGTACAGATAAAGTGAAAGATTCTCGTTGGTACAATGATGTCATCACAGCCTTTCACAGAAGACCTTCTACTCCTAGAACGTTGGAGTATTGAGGTATTCAGACACAAAGTCCTAAAAGCACCCTTTTTTTGAGTTTCCAAATGACAAAATTTTCTCCTATAAGTCATTCTAGTCTAATACTATGTTTTGATGATTAGGGTGGTTTTTTTGTTTTGTTTGTTGTTGTTGTTGTTTGCTTTCATTTTTTAAGACAGGGTTTTTCTGTGTAGTTTTGGTGCCTGTCTTGGATCTCACTCTGTAGACCAGGCTGGTCTCTAACTCACAGAGATCCACCTGGCTCTGCCTCCCAAGTGCTGGGATTAAAGGTGTGCACCACTGCTGCCCGGCTGATGATTAATTTTTAAAATAGTAAACTCTTAATTAACATGAGACTCAGAGAAGCAACCCAAGTGAGCTCTAGCTGGGGTGGGGATATCATGTGTTCTTTTCCAGGGAGAGTAATGAATGTAGTGTACATATTCACATGTGTGCCTATGTGTGTGCAGGACAGAAGTTGACAATGTCTCCCTTCACTGATTTCCACTTTTATGTCTTGAGACTTGCTGATAGGATGAGTCTAGCTATCCAGCTTGCTCCAGAGATTCCCTGTCTCCACCTTCCAAGCACTGGGATGACAGACAAGCCATCGTGTCCACCTTTTCTATGAGTGCTTTTCTATGAGTGCTAAGGGTCTGAACTCTGGTCCTCACGTTTGCATGGCCAGCATTTTATGCACTGTGCCATCATCCCAGCTCCATAATCATGGGTTCTTTGAGGCTAACACTAAAGTGTTCTTTCTTATTTTTGACTCAAAAAAACAGTGGTATAAGCACTTGTCCCAAGTGAATGAATATCTTGATGTTATTAAACACTCAACTATGCTACTCTGGTATCTGGCCACAGGGGGATTTCTTTGGGTGTCTTATCAGGGCCTTGGACTAGAAGCAGTCTTGCCTCAGACGTGGTCACCTGAGTGACACACAAAGGGGACAGAGGCTATCTGTGAGTACATGATGGACAGCTGATTTACTAGAAGCCATATGAGTCTATTGTGCCTGGGAAAGCCCAATAGTGTGAACATGAGGCTCCTACAAGAGTCAAAAATATAAAGAGATTTCCAGTCAGGTCCCTGATTCAGTAACTGTAGAGGTTTCAGTAGCTCTATTTACCATAAATTCCACTAGGGAGTGGTTGAGTTCCTCATGAAAAAGGAGGTAGCAATTTAGAGTTCAGTAAAAAACACACACCTGTCTGATTCATAATGCCATCGTGTGTCTTCTCTTGGAAAATCATGGTACTTCAATGAGTATATATCACCATTTAGCCTTTAGTTTTCCTTTTGGTTTTTGAGACAATAAATCTCCCCAGCTACCACTCATCTTTTTATGGATGTGTGGCACTGTAAATTAAAATGTGTGTATAGTGACCACGGGAGCATTGAGAAAGTTTTAAGACTCTTCTGTCAGTCCACCGGCCAGTTTTCCCACCTCGGCTTTCAGGGACAATCAAACAACCCAATAGGTAAACAGTCTGCTCTGGGAAAAGGGGAACCAGCCAGCACCATGTTCTTCTCACTCTGTTTCATCCATAAGCTGAAAGAGAATGTGCTCATCTGACAATGGACAAAACTCCAGGAAAGGAGAAAAGGCTTACTTCTTAATCTCATCTTCTACTGCATTGACTCCCTCGGCCTGTGGGTTCTGGAATTTGTTGGTGGCACTTCCAAAGTCACACAAGACATAGTGGCCTCGGTCATGCAAGAGGATATTTTCAACCTGAAAAACATTCCCAAACCACCCAATCCAAGATGCCACTTAGTAATGGGAAAAGCTAGTTTCACAGTCACATTACAAAAGGTTTCATTTTAACAATCTTATTAGTGTGCACAGAGAACTTATCCCTCACCATGTCTTAATAGAACTCACTCCAGCGGAGCAAAAGACACACGGAGGGAACATTGTAAAATGCAGGCAGAGAGTGAGACAGAGGTAACTGTACGGCTGGGAAAGCTAGGGCCCCATTTTCATGGCTAGTCAGCTCCAGCCAGGCACATTCCTCACCTCTGTAGTAACAGTGATCATACTTTCAGCTCAGCATGCTCTCTGTGACCCCAGCCTCTTTCGTATCCAACCATCAAATCCAAGTACAAAGGCTACCTCCTTTTGGAAGCCTCCCCAGGATCCAACTCAGAAAAATACCCTCTCCCCATTTTTCTTCCGTGTTTCATTGTCCATGCTAAAATTTACTTCACCTTTAAGTGGGTACAATAATGTCTTTATCAGTTAGACTTTCTGAACTGATGTTTTTCATATTAGTTACTTCTCAAAGTGACAAAATGCCTGGTGATAAATGAGCAATTTCTCTGTTAGAATCTTATTTGAGGGTTTGGGGATTTTTGTTTGTTTACTAAGTTAAGAGTTTTAACTTAGTAAAGCTTGTAAGGACCAAGACTTAGAGAAACTCTTATTCCAGTGAAAAGAACTCCCAGACAACAGGCACAGGCTGGAGAGATGACTCAGCAGGTAAGAGAACTCACTGCTCTTCCAGAGGACCCAGGTTCAATTCCCAGCACCCACATGGTGGCTCACAACTGTTTGCAACTCCAGTTCCAGGGGATCCAATGCCTTCTTCTTGCCTCAGTAGGCACCAAACATGTACGTGGTGAATAGACATACAGACAATACACATAAAATAAAAATTTTTAATTCCAATTTTGTTGTTTTTGGTTTCAGTTTTTTGAATCAGGGTTCCTCTGTGTAACAGCCCTAGTTGCTCTGGAACTCTGTCTGTAGACCAGGCTGGCCTCAAACTCACAGAGATCTATCTGCCTGCCTCTGCCTCCTGAGTGCTGGCATTAAAAGAAAAAATACTGAGCACAACATTGTCAAGATACACCGATTAGCTCTTGTTGTGGGGGAATGAGTTGACCGGCACGGGGAAAGACAGACCTGGCTGTGCACAGCAATAAAATGACAGCCAAAACCCAAAATCTTGCTATGCCCTTAAGACTGTAGATTCTATGGTCCTTTTCTTCAGCAACCCCAGACGGATCACACTTGAAACTAAGGCAAAAAGACTATAAGCTCCTCAAAGACAACCATCTCTTATTCATAGCTGAGATCTTCTTTGCCCAACTCTACTAGATTTTTGGTATAGAAACTGTTGAATAGAATAAAAAAACAAAGACACACTTAATAATCTGGTTGGGCATGCACACATTCAAGGACCATTTATGTTCCAGTAAAGACAGTAGCCAAACACCAAAGTGCCTACTGGTTCTTTAAAAATATCTGGCTGAGTAGGAATCCTCTTATTCCTATTGTTATATCTAAAGTTTTCTCTTAATTCTTCTAAAACCTAAATTAAGTGTATTTTTAGTCTATATTTGCTAATTCTAACCATTTGAAATCTTTGCTGTAAACTGACTGCAGATTGTTGCTTCCTACTGAACTTCATATTGGGTGCTAGTGAAGAGTTTCCATGTTGTTTGAAGTTGTGTCCTTTTGGCCTTCACCTGTAGGAAATGTTGAAGTCTGATGTTCACTAGAGAGGGTCAGAGTGGTGGTGCCGCTGCACTCCACCTCCACTACTAACCGCGAGTTATGGAAAAGCAGCTGGGATGGCCATGAACCTAAGAAGATAGGATCTTAGGAGGAAGAATTATCCATCACAGAATTATGAATGACTGGGACAGAGTTGTTCCCCGAAGATGAAGGCTAAGGCAGACAAATATTTCTACTATCTCTCCTTTTTATAAAACTCACCAATTTAATCTATTTATACAAAGAGAAAGAGTCAAGCTATGCTGAGCATAAACTCACTTTATAAATCCAAAATAATAATCCCAACCAAGTTAATACTCATAAATAACGGACACCATTTGACAAGCAGTAGCGACTGCCAGCATTACTTTACTCAGAACAGTTGATGGATTATGATTCCCATCTTACAGCTGGACAAAAGTGAGGCTCGTGGCCATTCAGTCAATACTGTAACGTGGCTGGTAAGCAAAAGAGCTTGAAGTGAACCTAAGCCATGTAACTCTAGGAAAAGACAGACAACTCCACTGCTGCCAGGGCAGGAAAGGCAGAAGCAAATCACTCAGGACTCCACGTCTACCTCCAGCTCTGAGCTATGGTAGCGGTTGTGAGGACATGGGACTGGGCTTATGGACAGAGTTTTTTAATTCTTTATATTCAGAAATGCACCTACATGGAAATCTAGTCAACAAGAAGTCAGCCATCACTCCTAGCTGGACATGTTTGTGCAGGGTTGTCTATGTTTTCTTTGTATTATTTAATACATTTTACTCCACTGCTCACTCTCCATTAGCCAAGTATCAACAATTCATGAAAACTCTGCTGGTCAAACCTTCCATGACTACCCTAAAACATACATACAATTTACTACCCACAGGAGGGGGCTGGAAAGGCCTTCAGGCCAAACCTAGTCATGACCACAGGTTACTTATTCTGCAGTGTACATGTGGCAGTTTATGTACAAAATGTCCATCAAAATGTTCCTGTGTTAAAATCTTGGTCCACAGCTAGTACACTCAATCATTTATAGGTGATTGGATCATGAAAGTATTGATTTCATTAATGAACTGGTCCACATATGAGTTCACAGCTAAAATGGGCTTTTAGGAGATGGATTACCAGTTATGTGCCCTTAAAGGTTCTATCTAGTCCCCAGTCCCTTCTTGTTTCATTCTGTTTCCAAAGTATGTACCCACCGTGACATTCCACCTTGCCTCAGGCTCAAAGCAATGGATTAGATGACCCTGGACTGAAAACTCCTAACTACAAACCGAAATATTTTTTCTTCCTTTTGTTTTTCTCGGGTATTTGTCACAGCAATGAAATCTGGCTAACACAATATAGCTACTTTTTCTTCAATGGAAGAGTTGAGCAATTCAGTGAGACTATATGATTAGCATGCCTAAAACATTCCTATCTGGCCTTCTGCTGGCCAAGTTTGCCAATGTTTGATCTGACTGATGACTCAGAATTCTTCTACAGATTTGTAACTGGCTACTGACATATTTATGTTTTTCTTCCCCAGTACAGTGCAAATCATTTTGGTAAGGGTGGTATATTAGCCTATGAATTTCTTACAGATGCTACTTCAGTGCGGTACTTCAGCAGGCATCCTTAAATTCTGTGAAATCACTTGATCAGTATTGGTTAGAGATGATTTTTCTCTCAGCCTCATGGACCTTAAAGGACCTATGTGAAATCATGCTTCTCCTAGTTTATCCTGAGTCCTATCCCTTTCCAAGTCAGATTCTATATTTGTAATATGGAATGAACATCTATCTAGAAAACTGAAAATTAATTCATAATAAATAGCATAGTAATTACAGCATCAAAACTCACTACTAGGAAATGAGGAATTAAGCAGACAAAGCAGAGTAAAACAAGGCACACTGTTGGCTTGAAATGAACTGTTGTGTGTTCCAGCTACTCTGCCCACCTGAAGGGAGGATCAGAAACTGCTCAAGGTGAAATTGCTTGTTGGCACCACTGCATTCTCCACTCGTCTTCAGACTGTCTTGTGAAAACCTCCTGGGCCAGCCTAGCCACTATTGGCTACTCTCTACCATCACCACCACCAAAGCACTCAACATGGACTCAGGGTGGAAGACTTCAAGAGTATTTCTGATGTTTGACCTTAGTTAAATCTAAAAGTCTCCTTTGGCTAGTTTCTTATCTGTGAAGTGGGGCTGATAACATTTCCATTACTGTTACAAGTAAGGGAATATATATCAAAATAAACTGTAAGTTCCCTGCCAAATATATTAATTACTGCCGTTCACTTATGAAAGAAACATGCTTGAATTCCTATAATATGTCAAGTACTCTTCTAGATCCAAGGATATACAGTTGTAGAAAATCAAAATTTAGTCCTTTCTGGAGCTCAAAATCCAAGTGGGAATGAGAAAATAATTATAGTTGTCTGGTATTGAAAATATTATGAGCCGGGCAGTGGTAGCACATGCTTTTAATCCCAGCACTCAGGAGGCAGAGGCAGGCAGATCTCTGTGAGTCCCAGGACAGCCAGGGATACAGAGTGAGATCCAGGAAAGGCACAAAGCTACACAGAGAAACCCTGTCTCAAAAAAGAAAAAAAAAAAAAGAAAGAAAATATTATGAAAAAAATCCCTGCTGGTTAAATATAGGTAAACTGAAAAGGAATGCCACTTCAAATGACATTCCTGGAAGGCCTCTCAAATAAGGAGACCAGAATGAGAAGCTACAGCCATGGCCCATTTAGGACAGAGCATTCTGAGCAAGAAGTCGCAGCAAGGCCTGGAAATGGGTACATCCCTGAGGGGTTTCATGCATAGGAGTAAGCCCATGTGGCTGGTCCAGCACAGTGCTAAGCTGGCAATGTGGGACAGGGGTATTATAGGACAGAGCTGTCACTTCTGGGGAGATGAGATATGTGTGGCTTTAGAAGAGGTCATGCATTTAAGAGGTAAAACTAGGCACAGGAATAAAGTACTGAGGCAAGAGTGACATTACTGCCAATATTGGACTCAGTACCACATGGCAGACAATCAGTACCCCATGCACGTTCACTTACAGTGGCCATGAAATCCTTATTAAGCTTTGCTATCCCCCTTAACAGATGGAAAAAGATAAGCCAGTCAAGGACTCAATTTTCCTGGGGTTAGGCTGGCAGGGCAGGATTTACACCAGGCTGCCTGACTTATGAGACCACACTCAGCCACCATGCTGACGTGCAGCATGCAGTTAAAGAGCATGGACACTTCAGGCTGGTTAAGAGAGAAGGAAGGGGGCAGACAGAGGACAAACAAAGAGACTGAGGAAGACTACTTAAGAGGCATTTGGGACTTTTTAACTTTAAGAGCTCAAGAAAACAACCATTTTAGGAATGTCAGCTTTGCAGAGAAAGAATAAAAGAAAGCAGACAATGAGGGAAGAGGAATGGGTCAAGCAAGGGCAAATGACGATGGGAAGGGGAGAGGAAAGGTAACAAGCTACAAGAGATGAGTGAGGGAGAGAACCGACTAGCACTCACACGTGTGAGCACTGGCAGAGAGAGAGAGAACAGTCACATGCTCAGGCAAAGCCCCGAGGACACAAGCCTGTGGCTGGTGCCATTTGTATCAGTCACCCTTGTATTGCTATGACCACAGAACAACTGTGGTCTGGCAGAACAACTTAAGGGAGAAAAGATTTATTTTGGTTCACTATTTTGGGGTATTTTCATCCATCCAGAGGGAAGGGCATGGTAGCCTGCATCATATCACAGTGAACCTACCAGAAAGCAGAGAGTCGCTGAAACCAGGGCCCAGGCGATACCTGTTTAAAATCCCTAGGGATCTACTTCCATCAGCTAGGCCCTACCTCCTAAAGGCCCTACCAGCTGGGGAAAAGGCATTCAGAACAAAAGCCCAAGGGTGGCACTTCAGATCCAAACCATAACACCACTGCTTACTGCTGTTCAGTACTTCAGTTCTTCCGGAGTTCCAAGCCACTGACCTGATTTCCCAGCCTAACAGCTTAAGAGCATTATGAAAGCTGTCACTTCCAAATTCTGCAGAGCCTTTGCTAAGGGGCCTGAAAAGCCACCTCTCACTGGCCTCTCTTTACCTCAGCGTTATGCAAAACAGCTTGGCACTGAGGCATTTCAGAGAATTTAATACCTCTGGGAAATGTGGAGGGTTAGACGAACACATCTTCGAACCCGTGTTTTTAAATTTAGGGTAAGAGCCCTCACCCTACTATACTCCATGAAACCAAAGTCTCTTCTGTGACAAGAAAAGTGACAGCTATGATTTTTCAACCTTAATATATTTGTTCATCCTGAACTCTTTCTTGCCCTCTCTTAAGTGCATGGACAACTAGCACAAAATAACACAACAAAACAAAATTTGTTAAAAAGGAAACAAGAAAAACAACTTCTTTCTCTATTCTGACCTGATAACTTAATTAGCAGTTGGGGCAGCAGTCATGGTTTCTCTGGCAAGGATTATGTACTGGCAAGTAATAAAGGCTGGAATAGGTGGTCTTCCCAGATTTGATCCCATGGTTTGCAATGATGACCTTTATCTTTCTTAAAGAAATGAACATAAAAACTGAGAGGAAGTAATTGAAGCATTACAACAGCATCTGAAGAGATCTCTTCCATAGCATAGTACTTCTATTGTTATTATTTTTAAGGACAGAAACGCCTAAGGACTAAGAACACTTTGAGTTCATATCCTGTATGGAAAGAGAAAGAGAGGCCACACTTGTGCAAGGCAGGGCAAGAGGGGCTTTCTTCAGTTTTGCCTGTGAATACGCAGGACCCACCCAGGCTAGGCCAGGCTCACACAGTTCAACAGTAGACACTGCTATCTATATTTTACAGAAGACAGAACCACAGCTCAGAGAGGCCAAATAATCTGAAGAACAAGCTAAGGAGCTTGAACAGGAAGAGCTAGAGAGAACATGATACTTCAGAGGCCCAGGGAAAACAGGGTACTGAAGGGGTCAAATGCAGCAGGTAGACTAAGACAAATACTACAAAGCATCCTTCGCATTTGGCAATATCGAGCAAGTTTCTTATGCTCTACAGTTCTGCTGCCATCACCCGTGTGGTGGTACAGAGGCAGAGAATAATATGAAATTTCACACAAAGGGTTGGCTTTAAATTCTGACACTACTGTTTCCTATTTATAAGAATGTAGGCAAGACACACAGCCTCTCTGCTGCTTAGTTTCCTCACCTGTAAAAGGTAATGGAAAATATCTAAGAAAACAGTATGCATAAAGTTCAGTAGAATATTTAGCACACAGTTGGTCAATAAATGTTAAGCTCAACCCTAATCAGGTGCCAAGTACATTGTACAAATGCTGTCATGTGACTTCAATAGGAAAAACACAAGGCAATGTGATGGTAATCAGCACCAATTATTAAAAATAATTAATTTTTCAAAATATGAAAGAGGGCTTGGGATATAATTCAGTGGTACAGCACTTGCCTAACATGTGCAAGGCCCTGGGTTTAATCCTAGCAGTAACAACAATAACCTTGTGTGTGTAGGGGGAGGGGATGTGGGGGTGTAATAAAAAGTAAGCATCATTATTTATAAGCTACTTAAATTAACATTAATTTTGAAGACCATTAAAAAATTTAGGAATACAGAAGCCGGGCGGTGGTGGCACACGCCTTTAATCCCAGCACTCTGGAGGCAGAGCCAGGTGGATCTCTGTGAGTTCGAGGCCAGCCTGGGCTGCCAAGTGAGTTCCAGGAAAAGGCGCAAAGCTACACAGAGAAACCCTGTCTCGAAAAACCAAAAAAAAAAAAAAAGAAAACCACAGAAAAAAATGTAGGAATACAGAAATAAAAATTAAAACATATGACACTTCGGGCATTTGAAAGTTTAAAAATTCTGGGGGCTCGTTAACCAAGTTGATAACTGTACTTTTTCTTTGGATTTTCTCTCCCCTGACTTCAATGTAAGCCCAGAATTAGGAACTATGTCTTACACTTCTTTCCTACCCCTCAATACGTGCTCCATCCCTGGGACAGACATAAACACTCAGTAAAAACACACTCCATAAGCAATCAGTCTGTTACCTTCAGGTCCCGGTGGATAATAGGAGTTTTGCACTGATGTAGGCGGGCAACAGCCTCACAGGTGTCACAGAATATTTGCAGGACTTCATTCTCTGTAAAGCCTGTTTGTAGACGCTGGTTCATCAGGTTTACCACCTGGCCTCCTGAGACAGGTACAGAGCAAGGGAAAGGATATTAACAGGCATATTCATCACTTGGACCTAGGCACTGACAGCTGTCCAGACAGAAGTGGATCACTGGCCAAGCTAGCATTAAACTCCACGGGTCTCAAGTCTCGGCTTGGGATTTGTTTTCTTACAACCCAATGTCTCCTCCGATGCATCAAAAGCAGATTATTTTTTTAAGCACACAGATGTGAACTGCCCTCATTTTTACTTGAGATTAGAAGCAGAACTCACATCACAGTCAGTTACTGCTGTCTAGTAATCATGTCCCCATGGTGTAGAAGACAAGGCCACAGCCTCTGTCATGTCTTTCGGAAAAAACGAGACAGCACAACAGATCCAGGGAGCAGGAAAAAGATGGGGCTGTTTCCACTTTGAAGTCTTTAACTCTGGGGGAACTTGGTCTCTCTGGCAACAAAAGACTGGTTATCAATTTTAAATAAAATTATTCAGACCCAAGTCCTCCTACTATTTGGCATCTAAAATGTCCTATGCAAAAGAGGAATGGTCAAAGGGGAATAAATTGTCAATTTCAAATTTGATGGCATTCTACAAAATCAGATTAATAGCCAACAAAAGCCAAAACTAACGGTTAATGTCACATTTATAGGATAAGAACAATTTATAGACAATATCTTTAAAGTCAGAAAACGTTAGTGACACTAAGGGCAATTACAAAACAGGGCACCAAACAGTAAGGCGATGGCCCAAACCTATAATGTCAGCTGCTTGGGCAACAAGAGCCAAATCTCCAAACAACAGGTGCATGGGATGTCATCAACTCAACACATTTGTGCTACAGTCTGGATTTCTCAGGGCAAATGCATGAAGTTTCAAGTTTTCATCTATTTACAGTTGGAAGCAGCAGCACCTGAATGTAGCTTTACCAGGTATTACAGCCCCAGAGAACAAGAGGGCCACTTTTGCAGACAAAAGGGGTTCTTTCACTCCATCACAGGAGAGGGGCAGTGGTGGGAGTGAAGAAAAGGGCTAGGGAAGCTGCAGTTTCTGTAAGCTCCATACTGGTTTTTATTATATGTCTTCACTGATTGTTAAACCCTCATAAAGAACACATTCTTCCTCATTTTCATGTGGTCTCATTTATATACACAGCCAAACCCTTCTATACCTAATGGAGACAGGGTCTGGAATTATCTGTTGCTTTCAATTCTTTGTACCATAACCCTTGTACTCATGAAAATAACCAAGAGCAGCAATGGACTGCATAGCTTGCCCATCTGTGAAACCAGAGCATTATCTTCAGAGTACAATGGACAGTAAGTGAAATGATCCCCATGCCCTTGACCATTAGAGCGCCAGAAACAAGAGCTTCAGTGAAGTCAACACACACCTCTGCAGAAGTCCATGAGAATGAGAACTTCCCATACGTCGCCACTGCTTACATTGTTGATACTAGAATCAATGTAGCCCACAATGTTCTTGTGCCCTGATAGGTCCCTCTGTGAACAAGAGTGGAGAAGCACATTGTCAGTTATAGACACAGTAGGGGCAGAATTAGTCAGTTGGTTCCACTAGCACAAACAATTTAAATACATAGCGACAACACGAAGAGCATGGGAAGGGGAGAGTGACAGTCAAGAACAAGTTTCTGGTGGTCTTTGAGAAGCCCAGTCATATCTCAAGAGCAATTCCACTTTCCTCCTGGACCACAGCGATCTCCAGAGCCAAGGCTCTAGAATGAACCTCACACAGAACACCCACTTGTTCACTGATTGGTGCTCCATCTGACTCAGAAGGACTCCTATAACATCCAGAAATACTGCAGAGGATGAAAACTACAACAACTACTGAAATGGGTAAAACTCTAAGACAGAAAAAGAAATCTATGTTTCTCCTGTTTATTGGAGGCAAAAGTGAATTCAGCTTGAATTTTTATTTTCTTTCTCTTTTTGTATGTGTGGGAGGACTGGGGTGAAAAAAGATTTACTACCTGTGGCATTCAACAGAGTTCTTTCCAAAGCAGTGTCTTCCCTGAACAAAGGGATGGCAAGGGCTTTAGCTGGGCAGCCTGCACGAAGTCAGAAAGGAAAGTGGGCACATTTCTGAACATGCTCTAACTTGACTTTTAACAGTTTCCCTTTAGGAAATATATGAAAAGAAAAACTGCCTTGCAAAATCTGAAGAGACTACAATAGCATCTAGACCAGACCCAGCATTTTACTCATAATTAAGCCTTTCCAGATGGCCAACTGAGATAGAAGATGCAGCATCAGCTGAACTGCTTATCAGCGCTCAGGACTGATGCTCATGGGTTTTCATCCCTCCAATAGGTACTTACTGAGAACTACCCAGGCACTGGAAATCACCTCATACCTTGGGCCATAGAGCAGATATCTACGGTGATGATGCTAAAACACTTGGTCCACACACGGATATCTAAGATAATGACTCTGAAACCCAAGATCTTTAAAAACTAAGTTGGGGAAAGAAAACATGAGGAAACTGGGCATTGTGATTTTGATACAAATGCAAGGCAAAATTAGGATTTGTAAATTAACTGTAATACATTATTTTACTTTTGTTTTAGAGGCTTAAGGGAGGGTGTAGAAAAGACAAGGTTCTATGAGTCTGTGTGTTTGACTCAAGCTTAGGCTCTGGAGTGGTCCAGTACGACGGTGGAACTGCTCCTGTAGATCTGGCTGGGCTTCTCAGAGTCCAGGGAAAAGCTGTTCCTGACTACCCTAAGTGCAGATTGCAATGCTCAAAATGACAAAGTTAACACAGGAAGAAGCCTCAAGGTATCAGGCAAACATTTGCATCCCCAGCATCAATGGTAACACTCACTCTCTTTCTGCATAGTGGATTAGGAAGCACTGCTGACAGAACAGCAGCCCCACGAAAAACAGACAATGGTAGGAAGGTGCCCACGGGAAACTTCTGGAGACTTATGTGAGAAGAATTTTGGAGAAGAGATGGGATGGGATAAGAACAGACTGAGTTGAGCAGTGTCCGTGAATTACTCTCGAAACATCTGTGTTTAAGGAAGAGGCTGCCTCAAAGGAAGAATTGCCAGGAATTGTGAAAACCACACTGGAGAATGAAAGCTGTAAGATACAGAAGACAAGGAAAGCTGGTGAAACCATACTACAGGCTAGAGGGATGCGGCGAGGATTACTGCTAAGGGGCAGATCACAGAGTGATTGATTTTCCTGCAAAGGGGGATTGGGCAGAGGTGTTTGCTACACATTGCACAAAAAAGAAAAGGGGAATTCAAGTAGGTTCAGAGCTATGGTTTTGCTTTTGGTATAGAACAAAGTCATCTTCAAAATAGGATGAGAAAGAAACTTGATGAGGCAAAAGCTTCACGGAACCTGCCTTGAGTCACAGATCCAAGATAGAGAGGTCAAAAAACAGTCTCCAGAGCTCAAGCTTTATAACACAAAAAGCATTCAGATTCTATCTTTCCCTCTACTTATTGTGGACCTTTCTAGAACTCGTTTCTATTTACACAGTCCAAAAAGTAGGAAGAACTGCAAAGAAACTTCTTTTTAAAGTTGCGTGTATATGTCTACATGTGGGTACATGCATGTGAGCACACATGCCCGAGAGTCCGGAAGACTCTCTTAATAGAAGGAAGGCCATTCTAATACCTGAGATAAGTTTGTATTTTGGAAAGGGATGCTTGGTGTAGCTTTGTTTTCCTCTTCCTTTCCCCTCTTCATAACTCTACATCTCTTTTTTAACTCTTCTAGGCAAGCAAGTACATCTCTAGTCAGCGGTGAAAGAAACCGTGGGCTGGCCCTCGGTTCTAGTCGAGACCTTGCTGAGCTTCTGCTACCTAAGAAGTCCAAGCCGGGCGATGGTGGCGCACGCCTTTAATCCCAGCACTTGGGAGGCAGAGGCAGGCGGATCTCTGTGAGTTCGAGGCCAGCCTGGGCTACCAAGTGAGTTCCAGGAAAGGTGCAAAGCTACACAGAGAAACCCTGTCTCGAAAAACCAAAAAAAGAAAAAGAAAAAAGAAGTCCAAGATACTTTTCTTCCTACACCAACATTTATTCTCCCCTACCATACTACTTAGATTTTACTGTCAACCTGATACAAACTAGAGATACCCAGGAAGAAGGAACCTCAACTGAAGAACTGCTTCCATCAGGTTGGACTGTGGGCATATCTGTGGGGCATTTTCTTAATTAGTTGACGTGGGGGACAGCCCACTGTAGGCGGTACCACTCCTAGACAGATAGGCCTGAGCTGTATAAGAAAGCTAGCTGAATGTAAGCTTGGGAGCAAGTCAGTAAGTAGCAGTCCTCCATGGTCTCTGCTTCAGTTCCTACCCCCAGGTTCCTGCTCTGGCTTCTCTATGTACTGTGACCTGAAAGTGTAAGATGAAATAAGTCCTTTATCCCTCAAGCTGCTCTTGGTCGGTGTTCTATCAGAGTTAAAGAAAATCAAACCAGGACACGTTTAAACTCAGTCTTGTACTTTCTGGATAAACCTTTAAAAATGTCAACTACAGTCCTACTCTGCAGCACTGCACCTCAGATTTTAATAGGACTGTGATCACTGAGGGATCCCACTGTAAAGCAGATTCTGACCTGCTAACCCTGGGCAGGGCCAGCTGTGTGCCACACTGCTGCTCAGTGCACCTACCTTAGCAAGGTCCTATAGAAGCACTCCAAGTGTGGTTAGTCAACAGATGCTGGCTGCTCAGTAGACTGCAGCCAGTCCACAAGGAAATAAAGAGCAAGTTCATCAGTCAACAAGCCAGGCTCCACCCTAATGAGCTTTTAACCTTCGAAGGAGCAGCTCACTGATTCACCTTCTGGAACAAGACCCCTTCGGCAGCAACTGGACATTTACATCAACTACTTCTTATGTGGTGCCAAGACAACTCAATCAAGTAAGAACGGTTTCTTCAAAAGGCAGAAATGGAACATTCTTTCTTACTCTCTCTCTCTCTCTCTCTCTCCCTCTCCCTCTCCCTCTCCCTCTCTCTCTTCCTTTTGGTTTTTCGAGACAGGGTTTCTGTGTAGTTTTGGTGCCTGTCCTGGATCTCACTCTGTAGACCAGGCTGGCCTCGAACTCACAGAGATCCGCCTGCCTCTGCCTCCTGAGTGCTGGGATTAAAGGCGTGTCTTTTGAGGCCACTCTGGCTGCCTCTTCATTTATAGCTGTGTTGCTTTGTTGTGGTATTTGTTTGTTGTTTTGAATAGGCATGCCCCCAGAAGATGAGTAAAGTACTGCAGGTCTAGTCTGATTCATGGAGTAAACCAGCACTGCCACCTCTACAATGTCATCAATAGAGCCGAAAACGACTTTCTCTCTGTTTTGTCGGCCACATCACTCTATGTATGTATACATTCATACTGAGCTAACTGACCTTTGAAACACCTATATCTTTTTCTACTCACACTGCTTCTAAATCTTTGCCTTCACTGAACCATGCTGGTAAAGCTGGTTAAAATGAACTAAGCACTCGGGAGGCAGAGGCAGGCGGATCTCTGTGAGTTCGAGGCCAGCCTGGGCTACCAAGTGAGTCCCAGGAAAGGCGCAAAACTGCATAGAGTAACCCTGTCTCGAAAAACACCCCCCCCCAAAAAAAAAAATGAACTAAAAGTCCACATATATGATCTCACTCTTTTGAGTCAATGCATTGTTTCAGTTGTAAAAAATTGTTCAGTCACCCAAAGCAGTTGTTATATCTTCCAATGGAAACAAAAAGACAAGCATGTCTCCTGCTACTTTAAATAAGTTACTTGTTAAATGTAGAATAACATATACTTAATGGTAACCACAAAAACTGCAGTACCACATTTACTAAGAGTACTCTTACAAAGGGACTGTTGTTGCCATTTTCATCTACATTAAGGTATTTTAGGACAGCTAACTTAACTTGCTTTCTCTTCTGCTTACTCTTCTTGGGAGGGGTGTACAATGACTTCTTCCATGGCATCATGAGGTCTCAAAGATGAAGGAATATTGTAATCCCTTCAAAATGCATGTACCTTCCAGCTGCTTTTGCTGACCACGAGGAATTCTTCCCCTAGAGTTCTCCTACATGAGAGTTAACATCTTGATTGAGGTTCGACCACATATGACAAGTCAGGTTGGTTTTTTTAAATGTATAAAAGACTAAAGTCAACCTTATATTTAGTGACAAAGGACTGAATGCTTTCCTACTAAGATTGGGAACAAAGCAAAGATAAATGTGTCATTCTTATTCAACATGGTATTACAAGTTCCAGCCATTGTGATAACGCTATAAAGGGGGAAAAATTACAGGCAAGAAAGCCATCCCTCATTGCAAGTTTGGTGAACTGATAGGACATATTGTAAAAATTCACTATTTCTAAATACTAGCACTAAACCTATGGATTTAAAAACAAAATCTGAAATATAGTATCAGAGGCTGTAATTTGGAGGTATAACATACAAGGTAAGGCCTAGAACTAGAGAAGAAGATATATATATAAAATGATTTAAAATCACTAAAAACAAA